GTTTTGTTTAAGACACCAACGATTAGGATCCCTAAGAGATGTAGAGAAGAGAGTGGTTTGTCTCCTTTCTTGGACTATGAGCCAAAACAAATCAGCCCCTGATGGTCTGGGCTGAAACGCAGCTCACTGGATAATTAACTCCATCTTTCCAGTCCACCCTAACTGTTTATTTAGTGTCACCCCGCATTACCATCACTAGCACTTTCCTCTGAACAGGAGGAACTGCAGGCTTTCACCTCCCAAAAGGAAATTCTTTTTAGCTTAGACAGATGCTGTATTCAGGATGTGCATTAGTTGAGAAAAAAAAGTTGATTGGAAATTCAATGGAAGATAAGACTCTTGGAGAGTATCTTTTTGTTAACTTGCTCTAAGGCAATATTAATAAAGGGAAGTGGAAGCAAGAGTGACTTATATTCTAAAGAACTGATTGTGATTACACTTTCCTGCACTTTCTAGAAAGGGGTTTGGTATCTATGTTCAGTGGCATCTTCTGGCTCAAATGTGAAGGTTGTTTAGTCCCTGGGCCTAAGCCTTTGCAGAATTCAGCTGAAGTTGGCCTTTTCCCTTCGGGCTGCTAACTCACCTCCTCCCATCCTACCCGCGGGTGGCCCCACCTTTCGACGCCGCAGCTCATCTTACCGATCCCCACCTACTGAGCCCGACGCGCTTCTGCACGGACTTCAGCGTCTACTCACCCACGCTGCTTCGGTGAGCTACATCAGCACGCTAGATCTGCGAACCCTTACTGCGCTCTGGTCCTGGGCAGAAAGAAACAGGCAAAGGCTCGCAGAGCCATGAGGAAGGGAGTGGAAAAGAGAGAGAGGAAGAAATAGAGAACTTCAAGGGGGAGGAGTTGTGAGGAAAGGGGAGACAGCGGGAGACAGACAATAAAAGAATGAAAGAATAAGAAAAAGATTCACACACAGAAGCGTCCACTGTGAGACAGAGACTACTATAGAAAAAGACACCAAGGAGAGAGACACTTTCAGAAAGAGACTAGTCTAGACGTGGGGACACACGCAGAGGAAGAGAATGACCACTCCAAACACATCGCCTCCCAGCATTATCCTCCTTCAATGTGAGTCCCCTCTGTCGGCGTCTCTCAATCAGTTTGCTTTTCCCTTTCTCTTCTTTCCCCCGACCCTACCTAGTACGGGTAGACACTGTATTTTCAGAAGTCAGGCGGGGCGATAGGGATTTTAGCAGCAAGCCGGGCTCCCAGCCCTTTCTGTTTGTCCAGGTGTGGGCAGGGGGGTGGGGGTGTCGGTCTCCCGGCATCTTGGGCTGGGGCCGCATTTTCTCATCAAGGGAGAGGGAGGCTCTGCTCGCACATTTCCCGCTTCCAGGAGAAAATTCCCTCTCCCTTCCCTCCCTCCCTCCATATATATATATATATATATATATATATATATATATATTAGAGGAACAGACAAATCTTCATTGTTCAGAAATAAGCCGTGGAGGCTGGCTGGCTCCCCTCGGCGGGACTGTGTGAGGCTGGGAGGGGGGAGTGGGAGAGGGAGGGAGGCCGGAGCCGCGCGGATCCGGTGTCGCGTTGCAGATTCCCACTAAAGATAATGAAACGTGATCTATTTTTCAGAACAGCAAGTGGATGGGAAAGAACCTTGACAACACAAAACTCATTTACTAATGGACTGGTTTTGGGTTTCTCTTCTCCCGGTCCGCAAATCGCCCAGCCTGAGCCCTCGACCTATTCAGACCTCGCGGGGAGCGGCGTCCCCCAGAAGGCAGGTGGGCTGCTGCGCCTGCCAGCTCCAGGCGTCGGAGCTCGGCGTCCCAGTGGTCGAGGGCACCAGGAGTTTCAGACTAAGCAGAATAAAAGAATGTTGTCATGTCAGTCAGGATTTGAGGAGTCTCCGCACTGTCCGAGAGCCACGAAGGCTTTTTTTTTTTTTTTTAATCCAAGAAACACCTTCCGAAGATCTTCTTTTCTAAATATCCGTAGGAAGAGTAGGATCCCCGCTGTCGTTCTCGGTGGCAAAGGAATTCCAAGAGAGGACGGACAGCTCTAGAGCATCTCGTTCCAATACAGAAAGGAAACAACTTGAACCCAGCCAGAGGTTTTAAAAACTAAGGCCTTAAGTCAAGGTACCCCCTAGAGAGACTAGTGCCTCCGCACAGACCTCCCATAGGCGACTATGAGCTTTTGGAGGTTACCTGTACCTCCGCCAGTCGCATTATTCTTGGGATCCGCGATGCGGCAAAGACAGTAACTAGAGTTGCTCTTTCCCTTTAAATTCCCGACGCATCTCTGTTTTTCGTATGATTTGCATTGACAGCAAAGGTTTTAAGTTACTACAACAACTCAAACCTTTCTGTATGCGATTTAAAATGGATCATTTGGTTTATGTGGTTTGTAAATTCATGTCATTTTACTTCTTTTAGTGGTTTTCAGTGAAAGGTTCCATTTTGGGAAACCTTATATATCTGAGCCAATAATTAACATTTATAACAATTGGTTCCCCTAGCCAAGGGATCGAAATAGCAGGTAGGCTCTTTGGTACAAAAAACGAATAACACTTTTCCTTTCTAATTACGTGATCTATTGGACTTGAAGCAAGGGGAAAGGCTGGCTGTTCCGAACCTGGCCTCTGAGGATGAACATTGCTTCTCAACTACCCGGGTGCCGATATCATCACATCCACATAGTTGTCTTTCCAATTGTCTCCAATTTCCAGTTTGTACAGGTTCCTTTTGAAGAAAGATGAAAAGAAACAGGCAGGGAGACCTGGAGGAAAGGAAGGGGAAAGGTGATCATTTTGGTGTCTAATCGTCATCTCTACTTCCCATCTTATCTTGAAAATTTGTATCACTCATATTGTCCTAACAATGCCTAATTTCCTTACACAAAATTATTGAGCATAAAGTACACTCCTTACTCAATTTACCACTTGTCTTTTAAGAGGCATGACTATTCTTACAGAACCTCCCCCCACCCCCACACATATACATTGTCATTCTGCACACTTGCTCCAGACTTCAGGGTATTAACTGATTTTTAAAGCTGAGTTTAAATCTCTGTTCCGGTCCTCACACAGCTGCCATGTCAATAAGGACTGCTCCAAGCAGAGACATTCCTTCTGGCAGGACACTGCAGACATCGTGAGCACTAAAATAAAACGGCGAAGGAAAATTACCCAGCACATGGGCTTGAGCTCAATCATGCCAGACTTCCAGTTTAGAAAGTAAGTCACTGGACACACCATGTGGTAGGGGCTCTTTTGAAATATCTGCACCCATTAAATACATTTAAAAACAATCCTAAACATAGTGAAATGAAATAGACTCTATTTCATTGTTTCCAAGGTCTAATTGCATGGAATACTATAGAGTTTCAAGTATGCAAAAAGCATTGTCTGGGAGTTCATCAAGAGTCTACTTGGAATCTCCTGAGAGGTAGCTAGGAGGTGGAAGCCATTCTGAGTTTAAAGTGTACATTGCAGGGTGCACTGGTCTGGGTGCATTATTTTAAAACCATATAAATAATACAAAGGGAAACCCACATAGTACTTCTCCCACTTATGTCTCAATATGCAAACAGCTCTGTGGTGCTGGGCTCTGGCTGATAGACCAAAACATATTTAACGAAGACAAGCAAGTTTAAAAGAGTCTAGAACTTGTTCTTTGCATTCACTAAGAGGGCACATTTAAATCAAAAGCATTTTTGAACTGTACTTAAAATTCTGTTTTGAACTTATCTAATCAGAGATAAGTATAGTCATAAAGTCACTCTTCTCCCACCATTCAGTTTCCCTTATCTCTCAGCATTGTTCTTATCTCCTGCCAGTCTTAGCCACTGACAATAGATTATCTTTGTTTAGAGACGCTAATTGTTTTCAAAATCTTTTTAATAATTGCTTTGGAACAAGGTGCGCAAATGAGGCTTAAGATAATTACAGCCTCATTTGTTTGTGCAGTTTTACTAAGCATTTTCCACACATACACATAACAGCAGATGATGGGGCTGAAATTGCAGGAGATCTCTCATTCCCTGACAGTTTAAAAAAAAAAAAAGCCAGCATTGCAACACACACACCTCTTTATTTAATCTTCTTTGGAGCCGCTGTCGCCCTCACTTCGAGGGCAATGTCCCTCTTAGATCAGGGCAAGGATTATGTTACAACAGAATTGCTATTGGAGCTGGACACAGTTTTATTAAATTTACACCCTATCCAGAGTATTTCATATGAGACTCCCCAACCATTTTCCAGCCAAGTACAGCTTTTTAGCATTCCTCTGTGGCAAAGGTGGTCTTCGGAAAACGCAACTTACAAATAGGGAAACTGAGACCAGAAGCCGGCTTAAATCATAGAACATTAACATACCAAATCATAAATGAGCCCTCCAAATCTCTAACTTCTCAGCAGCTATGCTGTAAATGGCTCTCCGCTTGGTCCCAGGAGAGGCAGCCCTCAGAGAAAGGGGAAGCGCTATCCAGCTGGGAGTACTTCTGTCCTTTGGAGGTTGGAGGGGCTGGGGTGGCGGGGCTGGGGTTGAAGTGGTGGAGGTAGGGGCGGGTTTGGGGTGGTGTGAAGATAGTGGGAGTGAGATTGGTCGACCTGGAGAAGGGATGCAGCGGAGGAGGTTAGGTTTCAGCTCAGTCCTGGAGCTAAAACCAGTCCGAAAGAAGTTACTCTTCGCGCGGTTGCCGACCAGAGCCCAAGACTGCTCTTGTATTATTTATCGCGTTCCATAAGCTATTCATCAATGCATTATTTATTCATTCCAACATTAAGGTAATTAAATATGAGCTCACCGGGAAAGGACAAGTCTGCAAGGGACCGGAGTAGGGAGAGGAGGGGAATCAGAGGTCTGGAGTCATTGATTTGTGCAGAGATGTGCGCTGCTGCCCTTAGGTAGCACTGAAGAAGGGGCTCACATTGCAATGTCCTGCCGCACTCACTCACTCCCACTCCTCGGCTCACGAACAGCTCGATTCTCCCCACCCCCATCCCACCCCCCAGTGACTTCCCACCTATTGGGGGTTCTCCTCCTCCCACTACTACCTACCCCCCGCCCGGCTCCACAGCCTCGCCCTCCCCACACTGGGTGGCGCGGCCTCTCCGCCCGGCCGGCGGCGCGCAGGCTGGCCAGCCCCGGATAGGCGCCGCTTGTAGCCAATCAGAGGGCTGGGGACGCTGCGCGCTTTAAGGTCGCTGCGGGGAGAACAGAAACCAAGTTCCCCGGCAACCAGCAGCATCCACCCGGCAAGAGGCTGGAGCCAACGAGGCCCAAAAGGCTGAGGAGTGAGTCGGCCGATCTGTGTCTAGCGCGTACTCCACTCTACCTCTTGATCTTCTTCCACCGCTGTCCACCCCTAAGTTTCGACTTGCTCTTTCGCCTACGCAAAGCCTAGGGAGGGGGATAGGAGCAGCCGCGCCCCCCTCCCTGAGGCCGCCGCCCCCAGCATTTCGGCTCGGTTCCCTGCAGCGTGCGCCCGGGCAGTGCGCCCCGGCAGGCCCCAGCCATGTCGATGCTGCCTTCGTTCGGCTTTACGCAGGAGCAAGTGGCTTGCGTCTGCGAGGTTCTGCAGCAAGGCGGGAACCTGGAGCGCCTGGGCAGGTTCCTGTGGTCACTGCCCGCCTGCGACCACCTGCACAAGAACGAAAGCGTGCTCAAGGCCAAGGCCGTGGTCGCCTTCCATCGCGGCAACTTCCGTGAGCTCTACAAGATCCTGGAAAGCCACCAGTTCTCGCCACACAACCACCCTAAGTTGCAGCAACTGTGGCTGAAGGCTCACTACGTGGAGGCCGAGAAGCTGCGCGGCCGGCCCCTGGGCGCGGTTGGCAAATATCGGGTGCGCCGAAAATTCCCGCTGCCGCGCACAATCTGGGACGGCGAGGAGACCAGCTACTGTTTCAAGGAGAAGTCGCGGGGCGTGCTGCGCGAATGGTACGCGCACAATCCCTATCCATCGCCTCGAGAAAAGCGGGAGCTGGCAGAGGCCACCGGCCTCACTACCACCCAGGTCAGCAACTGGTTTAAGAACCGGAGGCAAAGAGACCGGGCCGCGGAGGCCAAGGAAAGGTACGCGGCGTGCTTCCCGCTGCTCGGGCGACCCCTGGAAGCCTTCCCCACCTCCGCCCTTCCCCGCTCCCGCCGGCACTCGGCTGCATCTTCGCGGCGGGTTGGAGCCGTTCCGTGGGGCGGCGTCCAGGCCTCCGCGGCACTGCAGCGAAAGTTCATGAACTCAGATCGCTTGCTAGGATGGGGGACTCCTGCGATTTGAGCGCCGGCGCGTGGGTTTCTTGGGGCGTGCGTGTAGGGAAATATTGGCTCTAGGTTTGTTTTCTTGTCCCCCTGGCTGGCTAGCGCTAGTGTTGGGTAGAGGGTGACTTTCTAGAAGAACTAGAAAGGAAGCGTTGGTTGCTATTGAGAGGAAAGGGTTTCGGTAGAGCTGAGGGTCTCAAACTTCTTTCCTTTTAAGCTCCCCAGAGGGGTGGAGCTGGCCTGAGACATCTATTCTGCCCCCACCTCTGACCTGTGTTTTCACGGCCTCACTCCTACTAGTCTTTTTAGTGAGAGGACACTGCTTCATTCTGCCTAACTGTACAAAGGGGAGGAATCTTTCAAAAGAAATTCTCACACAAAAAGAGAGCTTTGGGAGAGTTCGCCCTGCATGTACCCCGGAGCCCCAGGCCCAGAAAGGATTGCTTTTTGCCGGGCCTTGCGCGTGGTCCGGCTCGCCGTCAGTCTGGCTGACTGTCCGCACCACCGACCGCGGACGAGCTGTGGGTCTCCAGTAGCGTACGTTTCTCTCCCTGGAGTTATGAAGGCAGTGAAACAAAAAACAAAAACCTGTCTCTGCCTCCGTCCTCGAGCCAGCATCCTGGGCTACCTGGCCGCGCTCCATTCCCGGGTAGGATTTCCGACGGTGACAGGGAAGAGCGAGGGATAGGCGGCGGCAGCTCAGAGAGCTCTCCTAGAATAGAGGAGTTTAGGGGAGAACGTCCGGGCTTCCTTTGTTGGCGTCTGAGCCTGGGGCCCGAAGATGTCGCCTCTGGGGTCCCCTCTGGGTGGGAAAACACTGGGCTTAGGTAAATTTAGCTGAAGTGGGCTTTCTGAAACCCCTACGAGGGAAGGGGGGGGGGATGAGACAGGTCGGCTGTAGGGATGGAGAGAACCGGTGTCCTGGAGGCGGAAGAGGTGAGGGCTTTCTCAGAAATTCTCAGAGGTTTCCTGGTACTGAGTGTGGCTTCTGCTAAGGGGCTCAGGGACTGTATGATTCCAGTGAGACTTCAGTTACAAAACGGCCGTGCTATAAGCCAGGCCCGAGGGCCCACTCCCTGTTGAAATCGGAGAGACTGGCTGCGCTCCCTGTGTTTACTCAGGTCACTGGGCCGCTTTGGACACCACTTCCCATGACCTGTCCTGTGTCTCTGAAACCACAACCTCCGGGCAGGGGGGCAGGGGGGCAGGGGAACTCGACATTTAATTGTTTCCTCAGATGGGAACAGGGCAATTGACTTGATTCACCCCAAACATCTGTGCATTGGGTAACTGTCCCCTGATCGTTTCTTCATCACTAACAACCATTTGCTGGAAGAGTTTCACACTTCGTTACTTCTAAATGTGGTACTGGTTGATATTTTAAAATAACTGAACACATTTAAAAAGAAGTTGAGTGTTTCAAAGAAGTCCTGGTGATCTAACTTCTTAAACTGTGAGAGTAAAGGACTGGCTCCTCAAGAGCTGTCTCCTGGCTCCCCATTTCTCTAGTCTCCTCTACTTCCTCACTTACCCAAAAACCCTTGGGGGTGAGTGGGAGGGTAGGGATCCTCCATTTGGGTCAATGACTGATTGCACAATGGCCCTTTCCTCTTTCCAGCTTCCCTCCCTCCATCTCACACTTTTTTAACCTACTTTTTTTTTTTTAACCATATGGTGTTGTCCTCTATTTCTTAGGGAGAACACCGAAAACAATAACTCCTCCTCCAACAAGCAGAATCAACTCTCTCCTCTGGAAGGGGGCAAGCCGCTCATGTCCAGCTCAGAAGAAGAATTTTCACCTCCCCAAAGTCCAGACCAGAACTCGGTCCTTCTGCTGCAGGGCAGTATGGGCCACGCCAGGAGCTCAAACTATTCTCTCCCAGGCTTAACGGCCTCGCAGCCCAACCACGGCCTGCAAGCCCACCAGCATCAGCTCCAGGACTCTCTGCTGGGCCCCCTCACCTCCAGTTTGGTGGACCTGGGGTCCTAAGTGGGGAGGGACTGGGGCCTGGAGGAGAAGCAGTGACTAGGGACATTTGTAAATAGGATTCAGGAACATTTTTGCAGCTTGTTTCTGGGGTTCTTTGTGCATAAAGGAATGGTGGATTTTCACAAATATCTTTTTAAAACTCAAAACAGTGATCTCAAGCTTAGTTGCATTCTTCTCTCAGACTCTTTCTACTTTTGCATTTCCCCTCCCAGTGCGAAGACCAGGAGAATTAAAGAAAAAAAAAAAAACCCAAACAATGACACCCAGCTCCTCAGTCTTGGTTTTGGGTATCCCTTATATCTACTTCAGTAGCTTCTCTTTCTTTTCAATGAATGAAAATTACAAATCAGCTGAATTTTAATTATTTACTTTTAGTTTATATGGAAAAAAGTATGGGAAGAGGAAAAGGAAATGAAAGAAAGGGGAGACAGAGAGAAGTCAAAACAGTGAAATTAAGAGCCTCCTGTTTGGGAGGAGCTGGTTGTATTCTTAAGGTGAATAGGAAAAATATGATCTTACAGCTTTTTTGATGAAGAAAATTAAGTTTACATTTTTCATATTTAGTGTTAAGCAATTTTACGTAGATTAAAATGAAAGATCAGTATTAGGGGGGAATACAAGTGCCTAAATGTCTTAATGCTCTCTATGTGAGACAGTTAGAAATAGAAGTGACCATTAGTAACACAACTATTTTTGTCAAATTTAGTGGGGTTTTTTGGTTGTTGTTTGTTTTCTTGGGTTTTTTGATGGCAACCTTAAAAAATGTACCAATGTGAAAAAACACTTTCCTGAATGCCATTACTTTTCATGCTCCTGAAACTTTTCTATCTGTAGCCTACTCCTGTGAAAGGTTTCTCCTGTTCCTAGTTTCTAGCTTGCAAAGATATGTGACAAATCTGGCAACCTGGTATTTGTTACTAAAACAGCATGTGTTTTCAGGTTTCTTTTCTATTGTACCTAAACCAGTCTAAATTAAAACTTAGTAGAACACCAGGAGTATGCTTCTGTTTCTGAAAGGTGAGTTGTTTTGGTTGTCATTACCCTTCCCCCTTTCTAACAAATCCTTTTCTTTCTTTCTTAATGATTATGAAATGCAGGGTACTTTAAAAGCCATCACCTGAGCCCAGAGTGGTAACTGACTTAACTATATGACCAAAAAAAAAAAAAAAAAAGGGTGAATTTAGCTTTGGGGTATTTATTTTTATTATTTTAGATAGACAGTTTTGTTTACCACCAGCTCTTCTCCACAGCATTTATATGGTAACTCAGCTCTTTTGCATTAACAAGTTTATGACAAGACTGTGAATGAAAAATAATTTATCTGCTTGGAGAAAAAAGGGAATTAGAACAAGGATAGCAACATTGTGAATTAATCTGTGCAAATAGAAAGCAGACAGGCAGGATAGGAACTATGCAGTACTGCCGAGTAGTGTCCAGGAAAATCCTAGTAAAAATGTAGGCTCCATCTTATTTTTGCCTGGGGCAAAAGTGATGTATCTTTGTATTTAGCTTTTAAAATTAGTAAAACAAATGGCATCATTTATTAAAATTCTCAGGATAACAGGATTGGCTTGCTTGTGCTTTGTAAAATATTGTTCCCCTGAGAGAATCTATTTATTTTCAGTCATGACAGTTTCATACTTTTGATTTTCCTCCATTTGTAAGTGTCACTGTTAATACACTCATTTCTTTCTTACCTTCCCTTGATCCAGGGGACTGAGGTGTGCATGTGCACGCACAAGGAGGGGATTAAGGCCTTATTTTGAGGTTTTCTTAAAATGTCAAATGTCTTTGACTGAGTTCAAGGGAGAAAGGGTCACTGTACTTAACTGTAGTCACTTTTACTTATAAAGTAATTTTTCCGCTCAGTGATGGACAGATGTGCACACAGCCGCTTGGAGACCATCATTTGGATTGGGAGCTCAGGGTCCCAATATCCCTTGTTAGTGTTTTGGATCATTAAGTTGGTGTTTATTTAAGTCACTAGGGTGTTTATTCTCCACGTCTTGGGCCACGGAGAAATGCCACCCTCTGCAGGAGGGGCTCTCACAGGGGATCTCCGCACATTCTTCACATTCACTCCCCAAAACAAACACCCTGCACAAAGATAGCTTTCAATGACCCTGACAGGCTTCAAAGGATACCGCGGAAATCTCCCTGGAAAATAAGGAAGGGCCAATTACTTTAATTTCTTACATGCCCTCCCTTCCTACTCTGATGCCTATCCCCCAACTCTTCCAGCTCTGCTTAATATAATTTTAGACTCATGGAAGTTCTGTCTCTCTGGGTGCACCGGCCCACTTCCTGCTCCTTTGGTTCTGAATCTTGGAAATATCTACAGATCTGGCGAGGAGCAGAGCTGGGCGGGGGCTGGTCCTGTAAAAAGCCCTTGTGATTACTGCTTGTAAACTCGTTAAAAGGACAATTTTCTGTCACAGTCATAAACTCTTTGTAAAACCCCTGGCACTTGATCCAGAGCGCGCATATTCCAGATGTGTTTAATAAGAAATTGCACAATATGCCTCCCTGCACCATGCTCGGCTCAGTCTGGCTAAACCAAGGACAAGCAGGAGGAGGTGAGAAAGCTGGATATTACTTTGAATTTTCTTGGCAATCACTTTAGCGCAATCATTAGGGAAAACTAACCATATTTTTTTTTCCTCGAGGAAATCTTCGAGGACCAGCTGTTAAGGGACCTCCAATTTACCTTCTCTGCGTCACAGTTTAACGGAATCAAAAGCCACTTCACGTTTCTTCTCTACAGATTTCATAACGATAGCCAAAAGTCATGAAAAATGGCTTATAACTAAAGTGCTTTTTAGGATGAAATCCTCCAGCACTTTGCCAAGTTAGATGAAAAAAATAAAAACAACCCACATACAAGGGAGAATTTTTTTTTTTTTTTGACATTTTAATTCTGATCACAGGATTGTTCGGTCCCGCTGCCTGCTGGACTTGACCTCTTGGTTGAGGAAGAAGCTTCTTGAATCCTTGGAGGCCGGC